ATTATTATAGGTTTTTAATTGTTTCTACACATGTAAATATTTTACATTGAAGATCACAAATTAAGGCTAGAAAATAACTTTGAGAAATTACTGTACTTTCATGATGTCGTATTTTTCCTTCTTTTACAGTATTTATTTGGCACCTTGACTATTTCAAGGCTTTTTTTAAACCAGTGTATAGTCCCAGCTCCAAGCTTTCATGGACACACTATTAGGCCCAAATCAGGCGGAGTACAGCACATGCTGTAACAAAGGCATTTACACAATTAGGTGTCATTAGGTTAAATTTATCAAGCAGAAAAGTTTCTTCAAACATGACTAATTGCCTTCATCTTCCTTGAGCAATATGGTGATTGCTGAGTGCTTTAAATGTCTGACATTAGGACTGCGGTTTAGTATTTATACCAACAAGCTGCAGCCATAATCATTTCACCAGGCTGGGAAATAAAGTGAATTTAATTTAATTTCCCTCCGGTCTAAATGACTCCACTTTTACGACTCACAGTTACAGCTGTTTGGTTTTGTAAGGACTGAGGCTGTGGCACAACTGCAGGATTTAATCCCCGAAACCTTCTCAGCATTAATGGGTGCAGTGCAGCTTCTGGGCCTGCCAGCACTAATACACCTCAGATTAAAACTGTTAGCAGTCGGAGCAGCGTTTAGTCTTCCATTGTTCTAGCAGCGCCGGTATTGTTGCTCTTACCATGCGTCGTAGGGTTAGTAGCTGGGCGGTTAGTGGTAGCGGATGAAGCAGTTGTTGTGCTGCTGGTTGTCTGTTGGGCTACAGGGGAAGTAAACAACCACAGATTATCCGTTAGTTTGCTGGACACATGCTGTAGGTACAATATGGAACGATATGAGCAGGTTAAGATCATCTCTGCAAGTTCTTTTTTTTTTTGTTTTTGATTCGTTGGACCTTTTATTTCACTGGGTTTCATTGTGTTTTAGGGACAACAACTTAAAACACAGTCACACATCGGATGCAGTAACCTGTGAACAGTACAACATGTGGACACCGCTGTACTTCTTCTACCTTCTTTTCCCTCAGTTACAGACAGAGCAATCTAAATTTTCAATCAATCTGCATTCACATCATGGGGAATTGGAGGTGTTGTGGGAAAAGTCTGTTGCTGTTCATTGATCACACACCATTATATTTATTAGTTACCTGTTATTAATCATGTGTTATCTTTGTTAAAAAGATGAAATGATCAGATATCGCTGTCCAAAACTGATTGCGAATCAAAATCAAAATGAGAAACTCAAAACATTAACAGCAGTGTCTTTAGATAGTGTTAGCTACCTTACCATGAGCTGTACTGCTGGCTGAAGCAACATTAGTAGCAGAGGATGCAGAGGATGCAGAGGATGCAGGAGTTGCAGCGCTGCTGGTGACGGTGATTGTAGCAGTAGCCATAACTGATTAGCACAATAAGGCGGCATGTCAGTGACACAAATCACACAATGATACTGTGTTAACGAGACAAGCTCCTGGGACCAATCTCAAAAGTCTTTCTTGATTCTTCTGGTAGATTAATTGTAGCAACTGGACTTGCTTGAGTTCCTTATTTGGTTCTCTACCTACAACCCTGAGCCTCCACAAACATGGCTGACAAACCTGACATCGCTGAAGTCGAACGCTTTGACAAATCCAAGCTGAAGAAGACGGAGACTCAAGAGAAGAACACATTGCCAACCAAAGAAACCAACGAACAGGAAAAGGCAGAGTCATCATGAAGACCAGTCCTCCCCTGTACTGTACATTCCACAAGCTTTTGCCCTTTTTTCAGACCTTTTCCAACATGCATTTCTGATTTATTGACTTATTAATGGCTGTACACCCCTCACACCACTCGCCTGCCCAAAAGGCACTCTGTACAGTAAGGAGGTGTGGTTTCATGTTGGCGTGGGTTTTCTGGTTATCTTTCAAGGAACTTTCAAGGAACTCAAGCAAGTCCAGCTGCTACGATTAACCTACCAGAATAACCATGAGCTGGATGACTGAGAATCTTCACAGACATCTTTCTTAATTCTGATCAAAAATGTTGGTTGATCAAGAAAAAGTCATTTTGACATTTGGTGCACAAACTGGGTTTCCCAAGAGCCTCTTGGAGTCAGTTTAGTTCGAGGTTCTTCTGGTTCGGTCAGTAGCTGAGTTTCTATTTACTGTAATTAGCAAGCAAATTGAGGCAGATTTGCTAAACGTTACAAAAACAAAAAAAGAAAAGAAAAGAAAAAGTGAATTAGGCTTGTTTCCAATGACTGCCCTGAAACTTTAGATAAAGACTGTCAACATAAAGTGGCAGTTTAAGCTGTGCATTGCTGTAACAAACTGGAAATGAAACCAGTTGTTTTCCAACTAGCAAAAAACTTGCAGAAGTAAATCAGGAAGAATCTTTATCCATCTATGGAAGTAAAAAGGAAGGGACGCCTTCAGCTGTTCTGTGTGTCCTTCAACTGTTTTCAATTTAGCAAATATTAATCATTCTTTCAAGTCAGCTGGGGTTGATCATAATGTCATACTGTTTGTCCATGAAGACAACAAAACAAGCAGCAGCAGCTGATCAGTAGTTAAATGTTCATTATATCAGAACTTATTGAGAAAAGGCGTTTCCATCTCCTATAAAGTACATTAACTCTCAAAAACTACCTCAAGCAAAGGAACTTCTTCGCAAATTTGATGGTGTATGTTTTTAAATTTTGAATCTTGCTCTCTAAAAGAGCAAAGAAATACATTATGGAAACACAGCTAATGATCTCTGCCCAGAACTGAAGATGAACTCCAAATGTCACCCATGTTCACGATGTTTCTGAGGCTTTTGCACCCAAAAAATTATCAAATTTAGGGGGAAAACATTTAATAATCGCTTGTTTTTTTTGTTTTAGTTTGCATTGAAAGTCTCGCGATGCTCGTGTCAAACAAGACAGCAGCAAAGCAGATGAAGCCTTACCAGAGGAGGAGGAGGAGGAGGAGGAGGAGCTGGTTGTGCTGGTGGTGGTGGAGCTGATGGTTGGGGTTAGAGACATGCTAGTGGTAGGGATGGTGGATGGAGACGGGGTGATGGGAGGAAGGACTGGAGATGACAAATCAAGGATGCAGCAGAACCAGAGGGACCACAGATGCAAAACACATTAACATGGTTGCGCGAAAACCACACTAAGTTCTCCATAGACTACATATTTGAAATCCCACTGAGAACCAAACTGTCCTTTGTCAGAACAAAAAGTCCTTATTACTCAAATCAAAGAGTGAGAGCTCATTTTCATAAATTCCTACAGTCATTCATTCACCACCATAATTCTTCATTCGGACAAAGAACGGCAGAAAGGTTAATTAAGTAATGAAAACATTTGATGGACTTATTTTTTCGACGCAGTGGTAGATAATATTTATCCAATCTCAGTCCTCCTGAGTCAAACACGTTCATCTGGACCAGTTCATCAGAACCAAATTAGCTGAGTCTTCTCCTTGCTAGATAATGAATAATAGAACGAACAAATTAATAATAGAGGGTTTGACTTTTCAGAGGTGCATGAAAAGTAAAATAGCTCCGGGCAACTTCTGCTCAGTTCTTGAGAGGCCGAACGTGGCAAAGCTTCAAAGGGCTGTGATTTTTATGAGGGAAGCCTCTTCAAAAATACATTAGGGATAATTGTTTTTGGTGATGAACTGTAAATGACTTCCATAAAACTAAGTATTTTACTTGGATATTAGAAAAGCCTCCAAAATAGATCTTAGAGTTACAGGAGACGAGGCAAAAGGAGAAGAGAAAAGGGGTAAAAGTCAAGTGTTTGACCTTAGGCATGACAAAAATCAAATGAGAAATGGTGAAAACATCAAAGACGATCTGCAGCTGAACTAAATAAATGAACACTTAACATCGTGGGGTATGGGAATGAAAATGGTGAAACACTGGAGTAGTGGGAGGAATAAGAGGGGGAGGGAGGTGTGAGAAGCTACAGGTTGCTTTTCATTATGCTCACTCATGTCTCCAACTCGTGTCTTAGCTCCTCCCGGCGAGGACGTGACAGGCAGGATACACCTGTGTTTCCTGAAGGCAGCCTCCATTCTCAAGGTGCATTTTAGGAATTAGAAGATCCTCTGTGATGAACGGCCAAGACGAGGAAGCGTAAGGCGGCATAATGAAAAGAACCCATAGAGGGAAAGGATGGAGAAGGGCTGCATGAGAGGGAGGATGAGGGTTGCTTACCGTGGGTGTCGGCATTAGTAGCATGGATGGTGTTAGTGGAGTCAGTGGATGAGGTGGCGGGAGAGGAAGCGGCTGGTGGTAGTGGCAAGGTGTTGGGATGAGAGAGAGAGAGAGATGCAGAGGATGATGAATGGTTGTGATGCTGCATCATAAATGAACATGTTTAGAGCACGAGGTAGAGGCGTACAGGAGAAATGCCTCAGGTCGCTTTGTTACATGAAATACTTGTTCCCCAAAATCACCACAGCCTGAGATCACACAAGTGTGTTGATAACTTTACCCTCGAGCAATTTCATCGCTTCAATATAGGAAAGAAGGCATCACTCAAATCAGAAACAGGTCCTTTAGGAAAGATTCAAGCTCTACCATGTGATTTCCTTGTTGTTTGCCGGACTCTTTTTGCAGTTTGTGTTACTCATACTAACTGTCCACACTAGTTGTAGGCCAACGAAGTATCCACAAACCAGCGGCAACACACCAACAAGTGGAGTGTGTTAATGGCTCAGAGTGTGTCCTGAAGACGTACCTGTCATTCGTCCATTTTTCTCTGGTCTTTGTGCACTCAAGTCAATATTTTCTTCAACAAAATATTGCGATGCCTCTAAGATGCACTGTTAGTGCTAAAAGTTGCTGGGCCACAGAAAAATGGGTTTGCTGCTTATTTTTTTTAGAAGATTTTCAGAAAAAGTCCCATGTTTCATGCTTAGTGACATTCAAGCACTGAGAGTTGTTGAGTTTCATAAGAACACTCGACCTTATATGTATCTGTTCGTAATCACATGTGGCACATCCTTGCATGTGTGACGACACACACCTCTTTTCTTTCAACACAATACCACTTCTAATTCACTGTCCTTGTATGTATGTTCTGTTTTTATATTGCACCTGTTCTCATACAAGGCAGCTCTAAAGGAACACTGATTCATTCTGCTGACGTATAAAGAGACTGTGGCCACACATTTAACCCCAGACCTTGAAGACACAAGTGGATCTCTATGTCTTCAGGCAGTCATTAGAGGCTCCTCTCACAGTCTGAAGGGTCATGTTTTGCACATTTATTCCTGAGGTGAACTACTGGTTATGTGGAAAGACTTCAGGCCAAGGTGGCCTGTACCTATATAAGGTTTAAAATAAGTGATTCTGGACTAGCAGGCAAAGATGGACTAATGATGGACTAATAATTATATGGTTATTACCATGTTCCCTTTTACCCGCTGCATTCTGTCAATAGTAGAGATTTTAAGAACATTCCTATTTGTCCAGGTATAAAGAGGAACATAGCGTGACAGACCTGTTTTCCCATGACCCACATGTACTGCCAGTGTTGTCTAGACTTGAGGTGAATTCTGCAGTTGTATCAAATTGCATCATTCGACCAAGACTGTTTATACAAGAAAATGCCACAAATGAAAGTCATACAAATTTGTCACAAAAAGCAGAAAAATTCCCTCCTTCTATGTTCCATCAGAACCATCTGTCTTGTGACTGGTGGTTCTGTTTGTCTTCTTCTGCTTTCCATTCAAACAGAACTGCCTTCTCCTAAACGGTTCCACCTGAATCAAAGCTTCATTTGCTGAAGCACGACTTCTCTCTCCAGGGATTCAGCTCTAGACCAGGACCCTGACTTGCTATCAGCTCCAGTGGTGCTGGTCTTTAGCCGACCCTGCACTCCATGGACCAGTGTAGCTCGATGATGCACTGTATAACCACGTTAGTGCTCTCCCATGGCCTGTTGACCTGCCGAAGCTGCTGCAGTCATTTACATTCTGCAACACAAGCTGATGCCTAATTGGCTCCACTCCCTTCCTCTCATGAGCACAATTTCACAAAAACTGACCTTTAGAAAAATGTCCCTCTGAGGCCTCTGTAGCTCTGGATAGTGTGAGAACTGACATTTCAGGAGTGGGGTTGGGTCACGTTATCAGCTGGCCCTCAGCTACTGTTTCTGACCGACTGAGGCCCAGACCACGTGACCTCCTGGAGTAAAGGCGATCGGCTGGACTCAGTTCTTCTTCAGGTCATGATCCATGAGCGGACAGCATTCCAGCTTTAATGGTTTCTGCTGCAGCACCCTGGGGTGGTTTCGCTTTAAAAACATTCTGTGGTTTCTTCACGTACGTTCCCCTCAGGACACAGACGGGTCATTTAAGGAAAATGTCCTTAACACAGGATGCCTGAGGGAATTCTTGTCCACATTGGTTTGGAGAGGATGTGTGGCACAAGGCTCCTCTCTCACACACTTGAACTTGTTCGGAGCGATAAGCTTAGAATAAACAGCGCAAAGTATCTGTCTCCTTCTCAAGAATATCCTCATTTTAACCAACCTGAGTGAGATTCTTGTCCTTGCTTGACCTCTTCTCTACGAGCAGTCATTGTCAAGTATACGTTCAAATATCATGACTGAAACAAATCATTTGTACAACGTATGACATCCTGAGATTCTCAACTCAGATAAAACAAAAACATCTCTTCTTTGTCTATAAGTGGGTTTTGATTTTCAATTCTCGGTTAAAATGCTGGAAATGCATTAACTGCTTCTTTTTAATGGACTTATAATTAGAGATTACAAACACATTTCAAGACGCATTTTTTTCTGCTTTTGTGGAAACTCAGTTAAAATATGCACGGAAGCTGTTTCCACACAGCTTTGTTTTGTGTATGTAATATAGCACAGACCGTTGCCCTCGTGTTTAATGCAGAGAAATTAGTTTCTTTATGAATGTATAGAAACTGAATATTCAAATACTTTGCTACAAGATGCATGAACCGATATGCATGCACTCTGTACATTACACAGCTAGCATGTGTTAGCTTTTTTTATTATTATTATTTTAAATTATGCATATTCACAGTTTGAATGAAAACATAGTCAAGCAACTGAACAGCCTGCTCGCGAATTTGTTTCTTCCAACTGCCAACACAGCGCAGTCTCGACAAAATCCACCAAAAAAGTTCAAAGTTTCCAACATTCTTGAGGTAAATTCTCAACCAGAAGGATTTTTGCAAACACATCAGAGATCCAAGAGGTTGCTACCAGAATTAATGGAGTTCCAACTGACTCACTTACGCACACAAAACGAAACAAGGCATTAATCGTTTGGTCGGCGGAACGTCCAAAAACCAATTCCAAAAGCTCAAAGTGATTCAGATTGCTTCCTTTTTCTGACAACCAATGACTATTAATTTAAACTAAGTAGAACAATCCAAACACTGAAGACTGTTTTACTTTCTTGTGGTTTGTTGTTTTCCCATCTTCTCTTTGTCATTTTACCTCTTGCCAGTTCAATCCTCAAATGTCCCTCTCTCTTCCTTTCTTCCTTCAAACCATCTTTTCAGAGTAGTTTGACAGTATTTGAAGAGTTCAGAGGCTAGAATATGTTCAGAGCTTTGGGGGAATGGGATCTGTGTGGCAAGCGTAAACCTTGTTCAGGTGAGAAAGTTCCTCTCAACAAGATGTCCAGAATCCATTTTCAGGGGTTAAGCAACTTCAGGAAAACCTCTGGGGCACTGGGACTTTGAAGCTTTCTTAACACAGCACAAAGAACAGAGACTGACAGCAAGACCCATCAACCTGTGAAGTTGAATGAGAGGTGTATGGATCTGACGCTGCCAAGGTTGAGGGTTTGATTCCCATTTGGTTTACCCATTTTAAATATGTATGTGGTCATGGAGAAAACCTTCAGTATATACATGGTCCTTGGCAGCAGGTCAGGGGTTCCATTTCCTGTATACTTCAGTGGAAAATTCAACGTATAACACAGGCAGGGTTCAGTCCCAGCAGAGTGGCACAAGACAACAGTACACTCATGGTTTATGTGAAAACTCCTTGAAACTTTAAGCACATTTTAGGGCTTCTAAGTCATCGAAGTGAGCCGATTTATTTCCTAAATACTGCAAAGTAAGCAGACCTTCAGTCTCCTACATCTGTCATCTTACTTCTTGTCTTTTTCTCAAGTCCTTACACCGGTTTGCATCTTTTTCTATCCCCAAACTGCCAGACAGTGATAGGAACAGCAGCTATGAGTGACAGTTTTGGGACAAAGACAATATTTTCAAAAGATAATAGTGAGTCTGCAGCACTAACGGCACACGGATGAAGTAGAAGCGCAACAAAGGGGACTTTTTCCGATGGCGTTCCGTCTAAAGGGCACCATTAGCTTCCGTCAATCCAATGTTCCCAGTAAATATTGATTTGGTGATTTGCAGATCAAAAGGCCTCCTAGTTAATATTGAGCATGAGTTGTTTGAAAAGTTAAAATTCACATCTTGTTTAGTTCAAATGAGCTTTGGTTAATTTGGCTGCTTGGTTGTGTTTGTTGTTGTTTGCTGGTGGGAAAGGCGGCTGCCAATCACTGTGATTGAAACCACTGGAAACAGTGAACCTGACGGCCTTTCCAAGCAAGAGTTTAACAGCTCATTTGTAGTCTGGAAGCTAAGCAGACCAACCTAGGATACTTTTAGTACAAATTAAAAAGCTAAGCTACTTAGAAATGCATCTGCTTATCATCAAGTCTCTCTATAAAGGGCACAAGTAAGTATGCCAAATCTAAAACTGGTACCCATTTGGTGAAAAGAAGCTCAAACAGACATTAGCTTGCTATTATATCAGGTTCTCGTCAGAAATTAGGTTAAATAGCAACCAAAATAACTATATTTTTTTACATCTTCGACTGCAAAAAAGGACTCTGCTAAATCCCTGTCAGCATCATTGCTTCATGAGATCCTCTGACAGGTCCCTACTCACTTTTATAAAGGTTGTTTTTTATCATTTTATCATCATTTATTTTATTTGTATGTAAAGTTTTGATTCTCATTACTTTCAAGATATGCTTTTATTGCAAAGGACAACACTCTGTTTGCACTCTGGAACAATATATCATTTTCCATCATTTCTTTATGATACCAGAAAAGACAATTAGACACATCAGTTAAGTGCAGCAGCACTGAACTTCCCCATGTGGGTGTACGTAACACTGGGACGGTGATAAGTTACCTGTCTAATTATATAACTCAGTAATAGCTGTGAGAAAACAGTCCACAAAAAAAAACAAGAAGTAAAAAGTATTTGTCTTCTTGGTCAGGATCAGATAAACCAGGCGCAGTCATGGGGTTATAAATAACTGCTGTTGTAAAGCAGGTTCCAATTACGCAGTGAAATCATATTTAACCCAGAAGTCCTGACGTCCATTGATCTGCGAATCACATCAGTGATTTATGCTACCCATGTTTTCATAACCTCAAGAAATCCAAATATAATTCTACTTAAAAAAAGGAAGAACACACATTGGAAAAAAAGAATCTTCCACTCGGATGTCACGTACATTAAAGCAAAGGAAGTAAATAAGGAAAGCTGCAGCTATTTTCTGCTTTCAGTCTCTTTTTTTATCACCAGTTGCAAAGACAGCGTTCACAATGGAGGCGTGTTTACTTTTCCTACCTGGGCAGCCCAGTCCAGGGGAGTCACAGTTGGTCGTGAGTGGTGTGTTGCTGGGCGGGGAGACACCTTGGAGGAGGGGAGGACAGACGAAAAACAGAATCAGTTAAAGTGACCGCGCTGACATTTTGGATGAATTAATACACAATTCTGGAGAGATGACGTACAAATGTCAACATGTTCTCACATTGTCTACAACTACTTCACTGCACTCCTTAAAATGATGCATTAGTGTTCATTTTTAGTCTGATAATCACACTGGCATGGCAAAAACCACCATTTTTAGCCTTTCAAAGACAGAATTCTGAGATTCAGATTGCATAAACACTTTTTTTTTCATTTTATAACAAGGAGTCACACATTTAAAAAGAACAAAAATTATACTAGAAGAAAAAAAGAGGAGAAAAGTTCTAACCCCAAGTCATGTGAATGATTGTAAGGATATCAGCATTTTGGCCACAGGCAGAAAACCTTTTCAGTTAAAAATGTGTCTGGATCAATTTCTGAAGGGGCTCTAGGTGTACAGCCTGTCTGGTAACCCTCATTATAAATGGCAGTTTCATTATTTCCTGAGATAGAAACAAACACAGCAACAGCTTTGGTAACTGATTAAAATTACAAACTCAAAATGTGGGTGTTTTTACCTGCTGGCCAGACAAAACAAAGTGATTTTAATTTATTAACTTGGTCTTCAAGGAGTAATGATGTTCATCTTTCTCTATTCAAACACACATGGAGATAATGAGGCTAATCACTGACTAAAGCCTAAAGTACATCTGTGATGGAAAACTATGAATGACCTCGCCCGAAGTTTTCTGGGCGTTAATTACTCAACAGACAAAAAACGAAAACTAAAGCACTTCGGTCAAACACAACAAATAAGCTCGATAACAAAGTAACTTGACTAAAACTAATGAGGTACCTCAGCAACAGAAAAGGAAAGTTATTACTAACTAGTATAACAAGTGACAAGGTCAGTAAAAGGACTTTCACCTAAAACAGTGTTGGTGTCCTGTGGGTTTGTAGCCTCTGTTTGTTAGGTTTAGGAAAGATGGTTTGGGTAAAAATACACCATTTTACAACTGCTACAAGCTTCTTTTCCATTTCCTCATTACCAGGTTGACAAGCCCTGCCCATCCAGAAGCAGCAACAGTGATGACACAACTGCCTTTCTAAAAAATAATTGGAGAGAGTACACACACTTCACATGCAAAAAAACATAGATCGGCTACATTTTATTCACCTCAATCGTCTCCTAGTGTTGTGGTTTTTCTGGTGAGGTCTAATTAAGAGGTGGAAATCTGAAATCGATCAAATGCTGTAGGCAGAAAATAGAGCAACCTTGGATTTGTTGGGTTCTCAGAGTAAATCCTTCATGACACCAGAACTTACATAGTGAAAATATTAGATGTCCTAATGTGTCAATGACCCCTAAAGTTTTCACGATATAATATTGTAGTACATGAATCAAGTATCAACCTAATCCCACAATGCATGTAGCGTCTGTCCAGCTTCAGTTTTGGCTCTATGTTTTTAGAGTAACACCTACATGATCGGGCATCAATGCAAGTATTCTTTGCATATCCAGTCTATCCCACGCATACATTGGAAAAAAGGTGGGCTACACCCCGACCAGACAGCCAGTCTAGTAATACGATCATCTATTTCTCAAAATCTTTGCAGCTTGAACAGAAAAAGTTTCCCACACTATTTTTGATAGCCTGTAGATTTCCAATCAATCAGACTCTGTGGGTTTTTCTTTTTTTTTTTTTGCTGGGACACAGATTGGCTGCTTGCAGAGATCAAACCCCTAAAATTTTTATGTCAGGGACAGTCTGTCTAACCGACTGTGTGCTTCCAGCAGCCAAAAATCAAGCGCTCCTCAAGTACTTTGGCCATTTGAAATGTAATCCGGAGCCGGTCTGCGGCCCACACATACTGAATATTCACAGGGCCTTCGGAGGGAGTGGGAGGACGGGCAGGCAGAGAAAGCAGAGACTTTGTTTGAGAGGAATGTGTTTGAGAGATGTCAGCAAATCATCGCAGCAATCAGCCGAGTGAAAAAGCAGGAATTCGGTAATCGTGGATGGCATGTGCTTCAAAAGAGGTGAGGAGGGCTGAGGATTGTGCCCAGTCATAATCTACCTCTTTCTTTCCCTCTCTCTCTTCCCTTTCCTTCACCTCTTGTCCTTCTCCTCTTTCTTGTGTCACTTTTTACGCTCCACTGCTCCATCTCTCGCTTTATTGCTTCGCCTCCTCTCTTTTCTCTTGTTCAGTCCCTTTCTCATTCCATTTTTTTTTCTTTTTCTTCCTCCTACACTTTGTGCCTTTCCACCACTTTCCTTTCCATTTTCTTGCCCTCTTACTTTTTCTCATTTTGCGCCTAAATCTCTCACTTCCTTTATCTTTCTGTCCTCTTGTTCCTCTTTTCCTTTGCTACAGTACACTTTATGAGCAACAGTAAGTGGACAGACACTTCAGTGAAGAGCGAAGGGGGAATGAGCAGGGCAGATTGTGATAACAGCACTCAACACACCACCTCAATGCACTTTTGGTCTGGCGCTGCATTTCCTCCTTTGGGCTCCTTAGTAGGAAATCTTAATGCCGCTGCACAAAGCCAGCTATATAAAGACATGGTTTCTCCCACTTTGGTGTAGAAGAACTTGTTTGGCCTGCACAGAGCCCTGACCTCAGCCCGGTCCGACACCTTTAGGATAAACTGGAGCGCAGACTGTGAGCCAGACCTGATTACCTAACATCAGGGCTGGATCTCAGTAGAAGTCAGGTCATGGTGGCAGCAGGCTTAGCAACTTAGTCCAAATGTCCCTCTCGATAGAAAATGTTTTCCAGCTCCTTCTCGGCAGTTCGAAGGTGTTTCTATGCCAGATTTGACATACAATCTGTCCTCCCTGTTCACCCTGTCAGAAGCCTGAATCACCTCACCTCACCTCAACAAGAAATTATCAGCTTTACTCCAAGCTCTTTATCTAGTATACATGTGACCCCGAGTACCGTTTTGACACACTGAAGATACTCTTCTGCTGCCAACACATTTTCGCTCCCATTTCCTCTCGCATGGACGCTCAGTCATGACCCCTTGGTGACCATTTCAGATGCATTAGGGATACAGCATCCTTCTTCAGCGTTGGTGGTCTGACAGCATTATAGACAGACAGACTCCTCACAAGAAAGCTGGACAGCTGGTGGTGACATTAGTCTGAGATAACAAGACAGACTGTCACCCAGGAGTGTTGCACATGTATTTGTATGTGTTGCATTGTTTACTTATTCTCCAGTTTTGTTTTGTTTTTCTGTCTTATTATTTTGGCTCTAGGGTTAGAAAAGAGATCATTGTTTGCATTAAAATATACCCTTTCTCAACATTAACCACACATTGGAACACAAAGTTCTACTTGCAACAACCATCTCATATGTCATTCTTACCACAGTCTCATTGCACCTTTTTTGACACTAATAGAGTTCTATAGAAGTCTACTGGACCACCCTGCACATGGAAAAATGGCGCTAAAGTGGTACCCAGTGAGATAAAATCTGACGCTGCAGGGCTGCTGTAGGGGTCATGACCGAAACTCCATACGTGACAAGCTAGGTGTGAGACCAAGTTGTCGCTGCTTGTATCTATAACCTTATTCTTTTGGTCTCTACCTAAAGCTCATGACCATACGTGAGGGCTATAATATAAATAGATCAAGTGGGAAATTGTAAACTTTGCCTTAGCTCTGCTCCAGCAGTCCAGTACAACACCTGCACTACTGGTGACACTGCACCAGACCTCAAAACACGTTAACTACTCAACTTGGGGCAGCGAATTAATCTGGAGGGAACAATCTACTGTATTCTGGCAGAGAACCATTGCTTAAGGTTGGGATGAGGTGCTAACTCTCATCCCAGCTGCTTCACACTTTGCAAACCACCACAGTGCATGACGAAAGGGATGACCTAATGAAGCTAACAGAACCACATCATCTGCAAAGAGTAAAATTCTGAGGTCCACAAACTGGACATTCATCTGATACCAGGGGAGAAGAATGTTAAGGTACCTACATACTTTTGTGCATCCAATCTCCCTTCTTTTCCTTCTCTCTTGTCCCTGCCATCTCTAGTTCTTCTGAGCAGGATGTTGTCATTAGGGAAAATGAATGCAGCTTCGGATCAGGCCACAAGGAGATACCGGGAACTCTCAGGAATATTAAGCTTTAATTAATCCTGGTAGCAGACCTTATCGCACTTTCATTATTGTCAAACACACATGTCCATGTATTTACTGTAGTTTTTGCAGGAAAAACAAACTATCTCTGCACACTAAGAATATGTTCATTACAGACTTACAACACAGAGTAAGAGGAGTGATGTAGAGTCGGAGCAGAGGTTCAAATGTTCATTAAAATGCATTTTCCTCTCACTATAAAGGAAGGCATTCATGTTTGTACTGTACGTCTTTATCAGGGTGTCGCTTTGGTGACAGCAGCTGATGGACTATAATTAATCGAATCACTCAGCACCAGGCAGCGGGTTATAGTTCACTGTCATTAGTGGAAAAACATGTTTACTATTCACCGCGAGAGAAGAATTAGGGTTTGTGAATGTGGCTAAAGTAATATTCTAAAGCATTTTCATATAAACTAATAGTTGACACTGGCAGGTTAAACAAGGTTTTCCATTTGATTATAACACTGAGTGCCTGGTTGGATTTTACTGGGAAAAACATCTCGCTCTAAGCTGGCAAACACAGAGCAGGATTGAAGTTCTCACTTTGTGGTCTGGCAAGGTCACGGATGAATTAAAGGTACCCTGTGGAGAATCTGACCACTAATAGTTTCACAGAGCCATGTTTTGTTTCTGAATGGGTCCCCGATGAGTATAAAAATGAATTTGTTTTTGTTTGTTTACCAAGAAAAAGAAAGAAAGAAAAAAAATAAAAATAAAATACACGTGGTGCATTTAAAGTGAGTTAACAGGCTGAAACATATAGAGGCTGTGCAGAAAATTGTTCAATTTCTGAATGCAGTTACCGGATCAGCACCATCTGAAAGTGTGTGTGTGTGTGT